AATCTAAATGCTCTCTGGTATTGTTCAGAGGGCCGGACCAAATGCAGAGGCGGGCCGTAGTTTGGGGACCACTGATCTATACATTTCATTTGTGTTATAGTTAGACTTTGCTTCTTCAAAGGGGGACAGGATCAGCATCTGATGCTCCCAAAATTTTAACATTGTTGTTTTGTTTTATTCTTTCACCTTTTCTTTTTCCGCTGCATCAGAAAACTGTGATCTGATGCATAATGTGATGAAAACTCCATCTCCTGCACTTTATGGGCATCTGACTATTGAAAACGTGTTTGTGTGCACAACCGTAATGATAAGATAATACTTCCATGGAAAGGAATCTGATAAAGAGTTGTTTTTAAGGATGGTTTTATGGGAAATCAAAACAAACATTAAAGTAGCTCATTAACAGCAACACGATAGACGTCCTTTCTGATGAATATAAAAGAGAACAGTTGAACTCCTGTCTCTCCAGAACTCTTTTCAGCATCCACCCCTGCAGAACAACTCCAGCAAAACTCTGAAATCTCTCAAAATCAAGAACATCAGACTCCAAGATGATTTTGCTGTTCTTCATGTTTGGCCTCTCTCTGGCTGCTGTTGTTCCTTCAGACAGACAGGAGATGAAACTACAGCGGGGCGGCTGTCCCCCGTTCTGGTTCGGCTTCAATGAGCGCTGCTACAAGTACATCGCCACTTTGATGACCTGGGCTGATGCAGAGCAGCACTGTCTGACCCAAGGAGCCAACCTGGTGTCCATCCACAGTCTGGAAGAAGAGAACTTTGTCAAACTGCTGATCAGAAACTCTGATCCCACTGAGAGTCCCAACTGGATCGGACTGTCTGACATTCATAAGGATGGAAGATATTTCTGGTCTGACGGGTCTGGATTCAACTTCAAGTTTTGGAATGCAGGAGAACCAAACAACTCAGGAGGATCTGAACACTGTGTGCACACCAACTGGGGCCCATCCAAGGGATGGAATGATAAAGTGTGTAGTGGCAAATACTCCTCTGTTTGTAAAGCTCGCCTAGTTTGGCAATAGCTGCTGACAATGTTATTCTAAATCTGTTCAGCTGTTTTAATTGTGTTGATCAGAATATATCAAACTAAACCTGTGTGTGGGATAAAAGGTGCAAATATTTTGTATAATTTGTTTAACTTATATAATTGGACCTTGCTTCATCACTCCTTCTTTGTATTCTAAGATTATTATTCTTTAGATGTGTTGTGCCAAGAGATGGAACGATACATTGTGTAGACTTAAATACTCTTTTTGTTTGTAAAACTCGTCCAGTTTGCTGAGAATGTAATTCTGAATCTACTCAACACGAGGAATAAAACATGCAAAGGTTTTTCAGTAATTAGTTTTTTCCTACATGGTTTTTGACCTTTGTTTACCATTCTTTATAAATACTCCTTTGTTTGTGAAGCTTACCCTGTTTTCTGGAATTGCTATTCCTTGGATGTGCTCATCAGAAATGTCAACTGAAACAATAAAGCTTTGAAGGAATTTGACTGAAATACGTTTAAATTTCAAAAAACCAAATGTGTTGAAAGAGATTATGATCGCAAAGTGTCTGTTTCACTGATGATAAAAATGATTAACTTGCGCTGGCGTTGTGAACTTACATCTGAATGAACTTCCAAAGTAATATCAGGAAGACAATAATCTGGAGTGTTTGGTTGGATGCAAAACTTGACAATGTGACACACTGAGAACTTTGCAATTTAACTATTAACACTAAGATTTTTTTCTGTGCATTTAAGAAATTTGAGTCAAATAAGAGTTATTTTGATTTGTTCATGTGTTGATGTCATAGGATCATGGAAATTGATCAAAGTAAAACCAAATTGTGTCATGTTTGTGTTGAGTTTCCTAACCCACATGCAGAAACACTCCAGAGACAGGAAATACAATAGTGAGATTTATTTACAATGAATACAAACAATGAGAAATGGAATCCTAGGTTCGTCTGGCAGATCTCAGGGCAACTAGGGGAGGACAGAGATGTTTAGTCAGGATCCAAGGAATTTTCTGTTTGGCGGAGGTTGAGAATTATACCTGTTCAGGGGGAGTTTTGGACCGGGGAAGGACCTTGAGGGTCTAGAGGCTGGTCAGCGGGCTGAGGTCGGTGGCGGCGGCAGAGGACGGATAGGTAAGGATTCTTGGTTGCATTAACTTTTGTAAAGAAATTCTAGCACGACTTCAATTTATAATGAAGAAACCAACCCCCATACACGTAAGGCAAGAAAACTGCCCCATGTTCTGGTTCAGCTTCAGCAGCAACTGTGACGAATAGGTTGCCATGCCGATGACCTGGGCTGATGCAGAGAAGCACTGCGTGTCCCAAGAAGCCAACCTGGTGCCCGTCCACAGCTTAGAAGAGGAGAACTTTGTGAAACTGTTAATCAGAACTTTTGATCCCAGTCAGGGAATCAACTGGATCAGACTCACTGATTTTCAGTCATATTTTTCTGGTCTGATGGCTCCAAAGTCATGTTCAAGTTTTGAGAGGCAAACAACTCAGAAGGACCCGAACCCTGTGTGCACACCAACTGAGACTCTGACTGAAAGCGGAAAGAATAAAGTGTGAACGGATACATGCGCCTTTGTTTGTAAAGCTCGTCCAGCTTGTGAGTAGGTGCTGGGAATGTCATCCTGAATCCACAAATGTATTGATCAGAAATGATCAGGCTTCTTCAGATTCAATGCAGTACAGACCGCTGAAGAAGATCGTTCCTGTGAACAGCCATCG